CATCCTGAATTGCGGCCAGCCGCCGCTCGTTCCCGGGACCCCCCCGACCCCCCCGCCGGTGATTTTTTAACGGATCCCCGCTGCCACAGACCCTACAAGCAGCGGGGATCCATGGAGTCTCTCATCCCTCCCTGGGATGAGAGGGATGAGAGACTCCAGATGCCGGCGCCCGGTATTTTTGAAAATAGCGGTCATCAGCGGCTTGTGAGCCGCTGATAACAGCTATTAATTTAAAGGGGACAGTCTGCTGAACAGTTCTACTATAAGCTGATGGTCAGCTTATAGTAGAACTGTAAATGCCAGGACCGTACGGCATACTGAGCTGGCCAGCTGGAAGCACTTTTGTAGCTCCGTACGCCGTACGTCCTTGGCAGCGAAAGGGTTAAAACAGGAATATCTTCCAATGGGGGCACTTGTTCCAGGGAGAGCTGTGATATCCCTTATTTCCTGTTGTGTCTCAATGGGACACAGAAAACAATCAAAATGGAACAGGGGTGTTATCCATTTACCAACTCTATCACACAAAAATGCTTGGCCTTACATATATTGCCTGTATAAACACGTACATTGCTCATTTTTAAAGATGCAGTTTCCAGGGTATCTTCTCCATCCTGGTTTCACTATTTAGCCAGTCACTAACATAGAACAAGCACGCATTCAGCGAAGTATCAGAATATCAGCCTGATGGGCAGAAGTGAGGAAGAATCAGCTGATTAAGTAATGCAATCTCCTGCTTGGAGAATTAGAGACACTCAGAAACAACTGACCAGCTACCGGTATTCTCTCTTCCCCTGCCCACCTACAAGAGTGACTTTTCGGTTTACACTCACAGAAGAACTATCTTTCAGGGTCTCTTGAGCTATACTTGGTGGCTGGTTCTTTCCAAACAAAAATTCCAATAATAAAAAAAAAAATCTCAGTAAGGATAAATACATTTCAGGTAATGTGCTTTGTAAACATTTTGGTTTGTGAGCTCAGCCGATAAATATTCCTTGAAGCGGTGTTGTTCCTAGCCACTACAATAGCGTACAGACGAATGAAAGGGTATTCTGTGTATTGTCTACCATCAGAAACAGCATCATCTTGTAGACAGGTTACATCCCGAGACAAACTCACAATTGTATGGGACATTAGTTTTATTTTTTATGGAGCAATAAAAAAGGCACAGGTAAAGCCTTTCATTTCACATATTTGTTACCACAAATTATGTGTCTTGCCTGCCATTTCACCTTGTTTTAGGCTACTTATTCTGCATAAATATATTTCAAAAATCATTAATGCAAAACAGGAACGTGTTCACATTTTGCGAAAAGTGATGGTTTATGTCACACAAATATTATGGCTGGAAGGAATGCTAACCGTAAACAGCTTCAAACAGACAAGTCCACCAGCAGACCTAAAGAGAAGACCCCTTTGCCAGACCATTTATTTTAACAACAATCTTCACATAAGATTTTATGAGCATTTAATTTACACATTATTTACCTGTAAAAGACTTCCTTGTGCGAACATCCGAAAGCCCTGAGACTGCTGCTTGGTGCTGCCATCCTGGATGTGACGTCAGCAGCCCCAGCAGTCTCAGAAGTGTCACTTAAGTGACACACTATAGGAGCTGTCACTAAATGGTGGACCATGGTCTAGACCCGGACAGAGCGGCAGTTCTGTCTGGACCACGATCGTCTACCTGCACTGGGTTATGGCTGCCTGACGGACACACCGGCCTCTGAGTCCAGTGCATCCACTGCCAGCCATAACACAGAGCAGGCCCCCCTATGCTTCAGTCATTGGTTGCTGTCAGGCAGGGCTGCCTATGGGGTGTACAGCCAGCCCTGCCGAGCCAAACTGGGCCTGAATCCCCCCCGCCGTTGTGTTGAGGGTCCTCTGCTCCTCTGGGGGGCCCGCCGGGACCATGACAGAGGGTGTCTGGATTGAGAGTGGGAGCAAACTGAGGAACGCCTGTTTCTCCATCTGGTCTGTGCTGTTCTCTCACCAGCTGCTACATAAAAGGTCATGTAGGGGGTTGCTGGAAGGGGTAGAAATACTGGGCCAGCACATAAAAGTGATTTGACACTACCAGAAGAGGAGAGGGCTATGACATGGCAGGAGACAGGAGGTTGTGCTAGGGAGTTGACTAGCAAGTTCAGAAGCATATTACAAGATAATAAGAAAGTTGTGTATACAGTAGGAAAATGCTGCAAGTAAGCATTGAAAATACTTTTCTCTTCTTTTACCTGCAATTTTTAATTGGCGACAGGGTATCTTTAAGCACTTCCCATTAGGCATGCTAGATTCTTCAAAAGCCTAAATGGGACCTAGGTCACTGCCTTACAAACCAATTTTGTGTAAATGGATGTACAAATGTATGTTAAAGAGGCTATTTAAACCCTGCAAATTCCAAAACCAGAACTATACCATGGATTCAGTTTATGTACTACCCATGCTATGTGCTAGGAATCTGTGTCAGCCAATATCTATCTGCAAAGTAATCTATTCAAATTCAATACTCATTGCACTCCAATCTAAGGCAAATGATAGAGACAATTATGTTAGAGTGTAATGAGCTGTCTGTGCAAACAGTTGCATGCTTGATCCCCAGCTTAGTGATAAAATGTTAAAGCTGTTTCATTGTCTCTGTTAATGACCCATGATCTCCCATAGGGCATCTGCAGTAGCATGTGAGATGTACAAGAAACGCAGGCTGTACAGAAGAGATCATACTGCAATACTCTTGTCCGTACCTATTCCACCATTACTTTAATTCAGTGTGGATGCTGGGATATTGCCACCCAAGAGTTTAAATGTAGCATGGATGCTGAAATATCCCCATCTAAGAGGTTATATTCAGTAAAGATGCCGAAATATCCCCATCTAAGAGGTTATATTCAGTGTGGATGCCGAAATATCCCCATCTAAGAGGTTATATTCAGTGTGGATGCTGAAATATCCCCATCTAAGAGATTATATTCAGTGTGGGTGATGGAATATCCTCATCTAAAAGGTCATAATCATTGTGGATACTGGAATACCCCCCACATAAGAAGCTATATTTGACGTACTATATAATAAATATACATGTGTGACATGTAGAAATTTTAGAGGAAAAAAAGAAAAAGGGCCCCTCAAAGCAAGACCCCATGACATCGAACTGGTTGTTGTGATGCTTGTCATCTGTCAGAGCCAACTATTCTGAATGCAATGGATCACACTGTGGCTGATTTACTACAAATTAAAAAAAAATATTTTGTAAAATGAATTTTCACTTAGCTTCGTGACTAAAGTAAAGTGAAAATTCACTTTGCAAAGGATACCCAATCAAGTGTATTCACTAAGCTAGGGAAACATTCATTTTGTAAAATAAACATACCTTAGTATATCAACCCCAATGTGTTGTAAATGGTATTGCGCAAGCACTTTGTATTCTGGAGGTAGACTGGGAGTCAATTCAAAGATCCCAATCAGAGTAAAATGTTTCAGGTAAAAGTGCCTTTTAACATGTTATTGATTTCTTCATATTTCTAAGTTTATTGAACCTGAAAACAAAAACCTATTCTTTGGGAGATGGTACAGAGGGAGATGTCCAGGGTCTGGGTATTAGAATGTTAGCAGCATTTACCCATACATCGCTAGACACAGATGCACCACTGATTTCTGAACAAATAGCTATGCCTAGTTGGCAGAAAGGTTAGATAAGCAGGCAGCACCAGTAAATATGCAAATTAATTTCATTCTGATCATAACATATGGAAGACAGAAGAAAACTGTGGGAAAATGTCACTCAAATGGAGAGCGCTAAACCAAGATTTGTTTTGAGTAAATAAGAGTCCACTGTCTAACAGTAATACCAAACCAACTACATGAACACTAGCTAGACCAGCCTGTTCCCTCCCTGCTGTTGTGGAAATGCTGGCACAGGTCATTTCATGGAAGGCTTACATCTGCAATAAAGCGTGAAAGTGTTGGAACACATTGTGATTTTTCAGCAACAATTACATTATTGGAACTATTAAACTGATGAGTGCTTATTATCTGTACAACCTGACAGCCATTTCATCATAAACATATGCTGCAACTCAGGGTGGCAGATGTCAAGCATTTGTATATGTCATTACTTGTCAGGCGCTTCCCCCATTTAATGCATTGTCATTAAGGACAATTTTAAAGGAAATAGTTATCTAAGTGCATTAATGAACCGAGAAAAACATAATGAAGGTGACAATGTGGAGCCAGTTTATGCTACATGAATATGTGGCAAAGTAAAATGTAACACATGCATGGTATTCAATATGGTCCCTTTCACACAAGCATTCCCATCATATCCGCCTGTCAATTGTTCAGGCAGCTCTGATCGGAAGCCTGATGCTAGTCTATGGGCAGCCGGATCTAAACAGAGGTGCGTAAAACCAAATGGAACAGAGTTGCGTTTTGGTGAAGCTAATTGTAAAAGGACTGGGGGTAATCTGACACAAACAGACATGTTCGTTTACATCCGACTCCCCATAGACCAACATGGGTGCAGTAATTTCAGTTTTTTCCTCTGTTACAAAAGGGAGGAAAAAACTGGATGGACACGGATGTCGCAACAGTGAGATCCATTATGAACTGCTCCGATGAGTCAGGGATCAATGCAGAGATCCCCTGCTGAGCAGAACTGAAAGCACCCATGTGAAAGGGGAATAGTGTGTTTTAGTATCGAAGATTTCAGCCATACAATCACTTGCTTTGTTTTATGCTTAATGTAAGCTTTAGCACTGTATAAAGTTAAAAACTTGGTGAAATCTTAAGAGTTAAACCTGTATATCTATTAGGATCCGTTTTTAGATAAAGGGTGCTTTAAACATTTAAGAAAGTTGATCAAAACGAGCTAAATTCTCTGTAAATGCTTGCCTTAAGAGGATTCTCTTTACCTGGGAGGTCAACCCCCATATATTTCAATGGGGCTCTTCCCTGCCTTGGTCTTGCACGGCCATGGAAAAGAAGATTTCAGCTGCAGGATGTAAAGACTGCATCAGACTTTGGCTGTGAGAGTCAGGTAAGTAATAATTTGGGACAGGGGAGGGAGGGTTACTTTTAATCAGAGGGGCATTGCATTTAGAATAATTGTACTTTAAATGAAAGTACAATTATCCTTTAAAGTAAGTTGGCAAGTAAGGTCGACTATCTTAGTGGTGGGTCAGGGAGTTGCAGAAGGTGGAAAGTAGAGGACTGCCATTGACGCTATGAGGAAGTTTGCAATGGGAGCCCCCCAGGATTTCAAATTATTTCAGGGGCAAGGCATCTGAAAAAGCATGTAGGAACTTCCAGATACTTACAAGTTTGCCATGTTTGCCTATGTGCACCAGGCGCTGGTAATAAACAAATGTTGCCTTTATAGCCACTTATAGGTCTAATCTGTGATTTCTCCTGGCAGAGGATTGCTCAATAGTAATATATGGGTGGTCTCAGGACAATTAAGGATTTTTAATTAAACTGAATATTCAGAGTCTACAATTACAAATGAGAGTGCAGGTGTCACCAAGACAAAAAATGAGCAGAAATCTTCCCCGATATATAAAGTAATAAACACCTGGCACTTTTTTGTCCAATACTCAAGAAAATGTAGCATTGTACAAAATGAAATGATCAGGGATAAACAACAAAGAGAAAACCATATATTTGAAATAAAAACAAGCTAATCGGGAGATGATCCCCTTTCAGAAGTATATAGGTTGACTCAGAAGACAGAATATCCCTTACATTGTTTGCAGACAATTTCTGAAGCTCACCTCATTATTTGGGTCTTGAATGACTTTATACAGAGCAGACACTAGAGTTTTCTTACGATGAAGAGTTGCAGCATAAGCGGTGAGCTGAGTTTCAGGTAATACCTGTAAAAGTAGTAAGAACATATATATTTTGCTATAATCACCAATACTGTACATGCAAAAAGCAAAAGCTGTTGGCAACATACATAGCAAGTGGTTGTGCTGCTTGTTTTCTTGCTATCAAAGGTGAATCCAAATTGCTTATGTTATTCATCATTTTAGCGGTACTTTTCTCTTTTTCATCGCAATCTGAATGTCAAGTACAAACAGCCAACTCTTACTATTAAGCATAAAGCTGGCCATACACCTATAGATCGTTTATTCTATCAGCCTATGGTCCTATGGAATGAAGGAATCTCCCACTGGGCCAAGTTTCAGTATCGACTAGCAAGATACTGAAACTTGGCCCAGTGGGAGATTCCTCCATCCACACAGTTTAGCATAGATGGAGGAATCTGTTGCACTTTTTCCATAGGACCATAGGCTGAAAAAAAATCCATAGAAAATCTATGTGTATGGCCAACTTAACAGTTTTTCAGGTGCTAAAACCAAGCGATCTAGACGCTACGAATAGTAAAATTATGTACCAACTCGTCCTCCTGATGTATAACTGAACTGTGATGGCATGTATCTTAGACACCTTCCCTAGTCATTTCCAATGTATTTACAAGTCAGTGACCGCAGACATTGCAAGTATAATTTTACTATACCAGTTGGCTGCTTCTCCATCTTTCCCATTGCAGCAACTAATGCAGGCACGATGACTATCAGCCTGAACTACAAGTATGAATTATTTGCAGACATTGGTCCAGCATGTCCAATCAAAGAACGCCTTGTATTAATTGACAAAAATACTAGGCATTCTCTGAATGGTCGCTGTGGCAAGCGAGTGACCCCCTGTTTTTTCAGAACAGAGGGGAAGCCTCACAATGCAGTACCAGAACCTGGAAGATCACGAGCAGCACTGTAGTAGCGCCAGTTACTGCAGTGTTTTACAGGATCTCCAGTGGACAATCAGTTATGACATATGCATACTTATATTGGGCCAAGCTGGAACAGTACAAGTAAGTAAAATAATGTATACCTGGAGTTCAGCTTTAAATTTGAGCTAGTCTGCAAAAATGAACTGCAATTTTACAGCAATGTGCAACAGTTTTAGGCACTTGTAAAAGAACACTGTAAAATGCTTTAAAAATAATGAAATTAATATTTTTTTTATTGATCAAATAACAACCCAATACAGACTGCATTCAAATTAACCTAAATCAAATCAATATTTGGTGTGTACACCCCGTGGCATTAAAACAGCATCAATTCTCCCAGGCACTGTTGCACACAGGTAAGGATTATGTAGGCATTTTTTCTAGTGCATGATTAAACAATGATTCCAAACAGGAGTTAATGATCAACACAATAACACGTAGGTTAAAATACAATTGTTATTTTTTCTAGGCTTTTTTTCACCTGGTGATCCGGCCAGTAATTGTTATTTTTCAACTTTCTTTACCAGACCAAGCTGTCCAGCAAAAGTGGCAGATAGAGGGTTGAGACAAACCATTTAACACCGACAGGTACTTACACTGATTAGTTTTTATGTAAAAGCTTTATCCAAAAAGGAAAACAAACTAACTGCTTAAAAGTGTTAGCTGGAGCTTGGATTCAATTTGTTAGTTAAGTCCATCTGAATTTGCTAGTGCATCCTACACTACCTTATCCACAGGTTTACAATGCTGCTGTCCAAGGGTGGCTTCCTTGTTCCTTTATAGAGTAACGCCACCACAAGACAGGAAATGTGTTACTGGCCAGATAACCAAGTGAAAATAAATAAAAAAAAGCCTAAAAAAGAAAACCAATGCAGCCACAAAATTTTACTAGATAAGAAAAGGGCATGCTCTAATAACGAGTTGAGGTAGCTAAGGAGTTGAATGTAAAAAATCTTTCACAATGTCAAGACTGAGCACAGCAGGACCAACCACTACTTTTTAATCTTCATCATGGCCCGTTTCTTTGGACCACTCAAGCAGACAGCACATCTGGAAACACCTGTCACCTTTGAAATTTCTGCCGTGAGAGACCTTGTTGATAAGGTTAGACCATTGTGTGTGTTGTTGCTGTGCTCAGTCTTGCCACTGTGTAAGATTGTTTACACTGAACTGTCTTCTGCAAGGTAAGATTTTTATACTTTGCAGCAGTGCTCTGCACATAACACCCAGTGCGGTGTGTAAATTATCGTTTTGTCCGGAGTGTGGTTTTAAATATGAGCACCACAGCTGCATTACTTGAAGTTTAAAACTCAAATATCTCAATTTTCTAGCAGTTCTTATAACTGCCAGCATCTATTTTGGATGGAACTACTGATTGCTCAGATCATGGCAGGCATGGGTCTAAAAGATACAGAGAAGCAATCAGGCCAAATTGTGAAGAAAGCCAAAATTCTATATGGGCCCTTAGCTCCTCTGCTATTATAACATAATAGATTTAAGCAGCAAGTTCAACTATTGTTTAAAAATGCAACAGAGTAACAGAGACACAACATCCAAACATAATCACCTTGTATTCCGAGAGCCATTCTTCCACTACTCCGCGTTCAGATCCCAGCATCTTCTTACCACGTCCACTGCTCTCTCACTGCAGAAAGACCATATATCTGGTTAATGCATAGTAATACCTTAATTCCACAGTGAGCAAACTGTTCTGCAATGAATAGCCATTTCTTAGAATACACAGACATTTGGGGACTATAATGCTTCATTCAATGCTAATTCGAGAGGGAATTTTAATCATTGGTTAAAACAATTAAGGAGATTTCAGTGCTATGCCTGTACTAGTGTACTAGCTGTAACGCGGCCTGTTTTTTTTTTTACCCTGTACAATGCTTTACAGCATTTGACCTAAAAGCCATTATGTTAGCTTGCTGCTATGCTTATGTCCTGTGAAATGACCTACTGTATACACATTCATCTTACCTAGCATAAGGAGAGCCTGGGAAGTATTGTTAACATCAAAACCTATAGTAAAGCATGATTTAAAAAAAAAAACCATTTTGTACAACTCTGCACTACTACATGTACATTTCCTCATGTTTTATCCCTTTAAAAAATAGTCAAGACAAAACTAATGTTGCAAATGGTTACTACTGCTTGAAATGACTAAATTTACTTCAAAGCCCCATTTCCAGTAGTCATTTCTCCAGTGCCTGAATGGTAAAACTATCTTCACTCACACTTAATTATTTATAGTTAAAGAGACCCTTTTGCTTTGCCTATTTAGGTCTAATCAACGGTTCCTTGAAACAACACCTATCCACTTATACTTGCCTACAATGCACTTTTATTTGGCGTTCTGCTGAAGACATTGGGAAATACCCATTGCTTTCAGGTATGAGGGAGCATGTGACCAGAATTTTCCTAAAATATCTTCAAAAACCGACCACTACAATACCAAAAAGGTCTACAAAAGGTGCAATTTCTAAAAATTTAGTATGGCTGTAAAGTTTGATATATAAAACAGTTACATGAAATAATGTGAAAATACAGTGAATTGACCATCATGTGCCATCAATTTAAATCCTACTTTGGATAATAAAAAGTATCGGTTGCCATCAAAAACAAGTAAATTTCCGGGTGATTTCAAACTTTTGAATGTATTTTATTATACAGTACATAAGGGCAGCCATTTATGCTTATAATGCAATGCTACAAAACAGCTATACTTTGCTGCTCCTTTTTGCAAAGGAAACCTGTGTATCTTCTGACTCATGGAAAAATGATGGACTACCATAAGATTTCATTTCAACTCTTGTTTAGCAGAAAGCCTAAATGAGAACCAAACACAAACCTCCCTCTGGACATTATTATGCTAGCAGTATGTAATAAAATAATGAAATTATGGAACAGCAAGCATGCAAGACAAAAGGTCACCAAAAATGAAGGCACTGCAATAATTATACAAAATGTGTGCTCGACTAAAACACACAATAATTTACTTTAATATGTATAACTTTAAGTCTGCTGTTAAACTGCAACAATCAAAAAAAGTGAAACCAGCAGTAAGGATTACACTAATACACAGTTGAAATATAAATATGTGACCTAGTTTACCGGCAAAAGGAAAACTAATTCAGTTCTGTCAATTGTGCGGTTCACACATGCCTGCCGCATTTGTGCACCTTCAGCCTGCTCATTTAACAAGGAATCAACCTCGTCATTCTGTTCAATGACCAAGGAAGTTGCAAATTTGAATAAGGTAACAACAAAGTAATCTTCTTGGCTTTGCAGTAAGGCAGAGGTATGTCAAACATAAGCTGTGTAACGCTATGCTGAAATGCCAACATAAGAGTATAGCAATTCTTGCTTTATTTGAGTACATACTGTCAGTGGGGAGCCTTTAAGGCAACGATCATTTGGATACACAAACACTAACTCCTTCTAAAAGAAAAAAATAGTTCTAGGCAATTGCTTAGGTTAATAACAGGAGGGGCTAAAAGAATTGAAATAAATACTTTACCTTATCTAGTAACATACTGCTACAAGCTCCCTTCTGTGCTGATCATGTGACCAAAGGTCGAAGCATTTAGTTAAATGATTTAGCCAAGCTGGACTCATATCTTCCCCTTCACAATGTAAGATAAAGAAGCAAAACATAAAACAACTGGCTGCTACTTCCCCATTGTCTTTTGATATATAAAACGGTAGAAAATATTTATCTATATATATATTACACAACAGGAATAAAGTTGTGTGTGAGGACATTGTTGTACAGCATAACCGCTGCGATTGTTGGGAGGAAGTTGATCAAATCCTGCACGTCTCCCATGGTACAGGAGGAAAGACAAAATATTGAAGCAGCCTGGCTATCCTTTCTTTAGACATCACAATTATTTTGTTTCAATGCGCTGCTTCAGTTCCCATGTAAGTTTAAAACATTGGCTGGAAAGTATTCAAAAAGCCACCCGTGGGATTAACAGATATATTAAAAAAAAGTATTAACAAAATATTTCCTTTGTTTCAAAATTAAATGAACACAGGAGAATCCCGTCATAAATCTAAGGCTACATTCACATATAGCGTTTCCTGCAGGGTTTTCCGTGCGGAAGACCGCGCGCCAACACAATCACTAAAATCTTTCATCCGTATGGATTCCACTTTTTTACGGCTATTATGTAGCCACGAAAGTGCGGAATCCATCACAGAAAAGTGCATTGTTTTTTTCTGTTTAGAGCAGTTCCACGTGTATTTGGCTGGCAGAATATGCGTGGACAACTGCTCCTGTGTGAATGGAGCCTTAAGGTAACTAATGCACTACAGAAAGTCTATGCCTTCTTTTTTCTAAATACAAAATGTACCCAGGCATCATTGTTTCAGAGACCTCTACTATTAAAACATTGAACTCTGGTAGGAGGATAAATGCCAAAGTTTTGAAAGAATGTACTGGGATGACAGACATAATAAAGAAAAATATTCATCAATATGGTCTAAATCAAAATGAGATCTTTTTTGCAAGGAGACGGAAGATAAGTAACGCAAAGTTCAGGTGTCTTTAGGGCCTGTTCACACGATGTCCGTTTTCTGTGCTGACCTGATCCGTACGCTCCTGCACTCAAAATGCATCCCAATGTATCCCTATGTGTTTTATGGGCTACAGTTCTCACGTGCGCAGTCCGTTCAGGTTACGACAGAAAAAATACAGCATGTCACATTTTGTACGGTCAGGAAACGGACCGGAAACGCAAAACGCGTCAAAAACGCACTGCACTGCAGCTAACATACTGACAGCCCCACTCCAGCAAAAAAAAAATATATTTTTTAACTGGAACGCATCAAAAACGCACTGCATCACTAGCACCGCGTCTGCAGATCCACACCTGATATCATGTGAACAGGCCCTAATATGTAACGCAGAGATCAGCAGTATATAATGCACAGTGCAGGTGGGGTCAGAATTTTTTGGCTTGTGCAGTTTTATTTTAGCCAATATAAAGCTATTCCATTGACAACTGAGAAGGGGATGTGACTGGAAATGTTTGAAGTGGACCACAGATTAGCAAAAAGTAAAATGAAAGGGGCTTTTAATTTCCCTACTCTGTCCAAAACTGAAAAGGGTTTTGGCTAGACCTTCACGTAAAAACAAATCCATTACATGCTGCAAGTTTGTGCCCCCGCTGTAATCAGGGCTTCACCCTGTTCCCTTCACACCACACAGCAGCGTCTGCCTTAGACCATGGGCAGAAGAGCCTGTGTACTATCTACTATTTAGCAATTGTTTTCCATGCATGTGCAGCTGAGCACACAGACCCAGCATGCCAAGATGAAGTAGCTCTTGTGTGCATGCATGGGCGTAACATCATCAAGGCCTGGCTATCAAGCGGTCAAACACTCGAAACATGGAAAAAGATGGAAGTGCCAGTGAAGGAGAAATGTATCGCTGGAGTGGATAGTTTTGACAGGTAAGTCTGCCATAATGTTTTATTATGTTGTACAATTAGTACATTATGGCTAAAAACTTTTTTTTTTTCTCTACAGCTTCAGTTCCGCTTTAAGGGTTTTGCACACATCTATTTTCTGCTACACATTTGTGAAATGTTAACTACTTTGATATTTACAGAGAGTTTACTGTTATACAGCATGTCACTGCCAAGTATGAGGACACATTATTCCCAATTAACTATTGTGATGATGGCATGGGCAGCAGTACATGCAGTTAAACTCTCCTGGCACTAGATGTACTTTTTAGAAAAAAAAGATGCAGCATGGCATTTTAAAAATACATGAGGACAAGTGAAAGGAGATCTTCCTGGATGTATAAAGAGCAAACTCAGAATAGTAAGGCTGAATTTATTTGCAGCAACTCAAATTGTATACACTATTAAACTGTCTGTTTATAATTAATAGAGTTTATGTAAAGTATGGATGCACGGATACTGGTTTTCCTGTATCGAGTACGAGCACCGATATTTATCTTTCAGTACTCACCGATATCGAGTATCAATACCGGTACTTCTGCTAGCATGGTGCCAGCTTCCCGGCCAATCAGGAAGCCGGGTAGCATGTCATTACCCAGCCAGCTCCATGCTGTTTGGCCGCCTCGATGCTGATCGGCCAGGAAGCCGGCTTCCCAGCCAATCAGCATTGAGCCACCCAAACAGCACGGAGCTGGCTTCCTGGCCAATCAGGAAGCGGGTCTTAGCCACCTCTAGGCTTTCTGATTGGCCAAACAGTGCGCTGTAAAGAAAAAAAAATGCAGCATGTCTGCATTTTTCCCACACTGCACTAGACATCACACTTGCATTGTAGTGTAAACAGGACACATGGAAATCAGTTTTTCAGGAGACACACTAAGGGAAAGGTTATGAAAAAAAGGCAAGAAAGAGAAAAACAAATGCATAATGTCATTTGCACTAAAATGCCAGGTACTAATTGAAAGGAATGTGCAAGCAGAAACCAATACTGCCAAGCCTCAATGCAGAGCATTATTCATAGCGTAAGCACCAATATTGCTGCTTCTGTGTATAACAAAGCTTAGTGTTTGCCTGGCTCATCCTTTAGCAGCTTCCACAAATTATGGCACCTGGACAAATTGATTTATTGCAGTAGATTTTATGATGGATGCATTGAGACAGACACTACCTT